AAAAACACGGGGGTGCTTTACTTTTTTCCAGGTGTATACATTAAAGCCGCCAGTCTAAGTTAATCCGCTTTTATATGAACTGGGACCGACCTCGTAACCATTTTATGCTCGTTATTGTTTTCATGCTAATTAGTAAGAGTATGTTCACGAAATTTGGCAGATTATCTGTATATATTACAAGGCTTTCCTATGCAAAATATAATTTTATTATTAAGCTTAATAGTTTTTAAGTAATGTTTATCTCATGCTTTTTTCACTTTCGCATGTTAACTATTAAACATGCAATGTGATTTAGATTTTAAGATAAAAATACTTTTATCCATCAGAAAATTTTCAAATTTCACATGCCAAATCTTTATAACTTCCAAATAATTATCAAACGTTTTTCTTAGAAAACACTTTATATTTTATCTGTGTCTTGGCATGGCCAGGTGGTTTGGGCGCTCAACTCGCAATCTGCGAGTCGTGGGTTTGAATCCCCATCTCAGCAAATATATTCGCCCTTTCTGCCGTGGGGGCGTTCTAATGTTTCCATCAATCCCACTATTCGTTGGTAAAAGAGTAGCCCAAGAGTTGGCGGTGGGATGGTGATGACTAGCTGCCTTCCCTCTAGTCTTACACTGACTAAAGTTAGGGACGGCTAGCGCAGATAGCCCTCGTGTAGCTTTGCGCGAAATTCCAAAACAAACAAACAAGCTAGTCAACCTTATTTCCCAATACAGATATCTTTTGCTTCAGGGTATTAGATTACATTATCTTGTTGTTTAGTTCATATTGTTCACAATGTTTGAATTGTCTAATAATGATGAAGTGTGGAGCCTTTAGAAAAAAACAATATTAGGTGATTTAATTTTTTTTTACCAAAATTGAGTGATTTTTGGAGAAGGGTTATATTTTAATTATACATTTGATCAATATGTTGACAGATAAAGACAGAAACAATCATAAAATTCCGGCCCTGGTGTTTTTATTTAGTGCTTATAAAACAACTTGCAAATTCTCTATATATGAGCAATACTTAAATAATTTCTACTGACGAAGCTGTAATAGCGATATATTAAGCTAATAAAGTTACATTCTGGAGATATAAGTCATGAGTTTATATATGTTTATAGATATGTCTCATAATAAACTCCAATTTGCAATAAACAAAGTTAAGAAAAATAAAGAGCTTATACAACTTACACCACTTTCTGCATAGAAGAGTTTGTAAGATGGGAAAAATTTATGTTTGTTTGTTTGTTTTTGAATTTCTCGCAAAGCTACACGAGGGCTATCTGCACTAGCCGTCCCTAATTCAGCAGTGTAAGACTAGAGGGAAAGCAGCTAGTCATCACCACCCACCGCCAACTCTTGGGCTACTCTTTTACCAACGAAAAGTGGGACTGACCGTAACATTATAACGCCCCCACGGCTGAAAGGGCGAGCATGTTTGGTGTGACGGGGATTCGAACCCCCGACCCTCAGATTGTGAGTCGAGCGCCCTAACCACCTGGCCATGCCGGGCCAATCTCATAATGTGTCAGAAGAAATGGCATTTCTATGCCGCGTATCTGACATCAACTATTGCTGAGAGTGTCCATTCCTATATATCATCACAGTCAAAGATAAAAGTACTTAATTGTTAGGATTTAAGATATTTGTATTTGTAGTCAATTATAGCTTCATTATGCTCTGACAAATACTATCTCATCTCCATCCGATGTATTGCCTATTAATACAAGTACGCTATAATCAATCATATCAAACTTTATAACTCTACTGTTTTTTTTTAAATTATGCACAAAGCTACACAAAGGGCTATCTGTGCTCTGCCCACCACGGGTATCGAAACCCGGTTTCTAGCGTTATAAGTCCGCAGACATACCGCTGTGCCACTGGGGGGCATAACTCTACTGAAGAACTATATAACCTAAAATATATATAAATAATGAAGTATATGTAACATCAGTTTTAGGACCAGAAAGTGTTAACGTTACTTTTTGTTTAATGCTCCATATTTTAATACTGTTGTTTCTGTAGGAAACATTGTGATTATCTTTACTTTTCTCACACGTAATATTGAAAAGCTCACTTACTTAGCCCGGTCGCTGACTCTGGCTTAATGTTGGTGAAAAAAAAAGAGAGCACGGTTGAGAGGGTCAGGTTCAATCAAGACCTCTTCCTCCCTCCTTTACTGGTTGTTTGTAATATACTGTAAAATGCTATTTAGAAATTCAAGTAAACAGGCCTATTGTAACAATAATGTGACGTCATCTGTTTGTTTTAGTGGATTTTGGTATTCTTGAATACATTCTGTAAAATTGTTTATAACTGCTTCTAAAATAGGACTGTCAATTGAGAGTGGCTGTTGGTTATTTGTTTCATTTGCATTTAGTTGTTGTTCCATATTTGTTTTCTCATTTTTCTGTGTTTGTTTTATTTGCTTTATATTTTGTGCGTGTACTTGAGTGATTTGTGTGGTTATTGTTGGTGGTGTTGATAATTATGTTGTTTTCTTGGCTGTCTTTTGTGTTTGATTTGTTTCATGGTTAGTGTGTTTGTTTGTGCAGGTTGAATAGTGGAATTTATATTATATAATCTTTGTTTGGTGCTTTTGTATTTAGGTGTAACCTGAATAGTTTGCCGTATGTTTTTGTTGGCAATTACATTAATGTGATGGTTTCCACCACAGCTTACCAACACTGTGTTACGGCTACTGCGGGGGTTTTAACTTCTTCAACTCGATATCTCTGATACCAGAGTATAATATCATTTGATATCATACTTGTGGACTTTTAATATGTTTGTTTGTGTTTTTGCATTTGTAATTCTTACAACTTTAGTGAAAGAAATGTCTTGTTTAAATTCGATGACGAGGAACCCACTTTGAGACTAATAATGCTTGGAGACGGCTTTAATGGGT